CCAGAATTCTTTCGACTAGATGGCTATTAAAGTGCTCGCATGTGATCTTCAAATCTCTATTGGCGTATAGAAGAGTTCTCTATCTATGAAGATATCAATAGGAAGCCATTTTGAAGAGAATAACATGGTAGTCACGTGGAATAAACATTGTTCTTTATTTTGAGTAAATATTTCTGAAACTTTGCAGAATTTGGAAAGACAATCGAGCAAAGGTAATAATTGACTACCATGTTATTCTCTTCAAAATGTCTTCCTATTGATATCTTCATAGATAGAGAACTCATCTATTCGCCAATAGAGATTTGAAGATCACATGCGAGCACTTTAATAGCCATCTAGTCGAAAGAATTCTGGTGTGAGATTTCAAACGTTATCATCCGCCATTTTGTTTTGGATGAATATTTTCGTCTGAGATTCTGAGGTTGTATAGAGAATCGAAAGACCTTTCAATCGAGGTATCTTTCGACCCCCGACTCCATTTAAAAAAATCTTCCAAAATGGCGCCCAGGCGCCATTTTCGAGGATACATAATTTTTTTTTGGAACAATATGTAGCACTGAAACTACCATTGAAGCAAAAAAAAATTGAAAAAAAATCCCATCCGTTCAATAGTTAACCAGGGGGGGGGTGACTTTATGGACACAGTGTATAGTTCCATCCTTATTCATTTCTGGAGATAAACACTAGATTACTGACATTTGTTGTTTTTTAGGTTATATTGAGGACATTGGCGTATCATACGTAGTTTCTACATGTAATTTCTCATTCAACTCTGCATAATATATCCAAATGATGATGATAATTTTCGAGTTTTCAACTCCAGCATAATCTTTGTGAGGTAGTGAGCAAATTTTTCTGAAATTTCAATACGTTTTACCAAATGGGAATGTTCTTAGGCAGAACCTATCAATAAATGAATTTTGATTCCGCAGACTAAGCCTTATGGTTGAGAAATGGTGAAAAATTTTATGTAGCTATTCAAACTTATGGGCTCATATGTCATGTGTGCTGTATATATATTCATGTTGGGAATCATTTTTGCAGTTTTTCACGAACACTTGAATATTTCCTGAATGTAGGTATTTTTTAAATGGTAGGGCTTATGCCTTTAATCTTCCGTTTTAATCAAAACTGTTTCTACTACAATGCATTCAAAAACTTGTCGAGTGGATAATAATAATATTCACAATGAGAAAGGATATGTGATTTCGTATAAGTTTTACCCCGAATATTTTGATGATGTATTTACCAATTTTCTCCATTCGGTCACTTCACTTTCCATGTTCTAAGTTCATTTGCATTTGATGAAAAGCTGACAACTGATTGATACAGCCTAACGCAGCACATTTTACCATCCTTCCAAAACAGAATTGAATAATGTATTAAGATCAAGTATGAAATTAAAATTTTGTAAGATCTCTTTTAACGTCTATGAATGTGACGTGACAGCAATGTCATGTCAGGGACGCCAATACACGAAACCAAAGTCACTAGATGATTAAAAAAGAAAGGAGCTATGATCTGTTCGTGCCCTGTTAGATGACAAATACGTCAGTTTGCATCAAGGGACCCTAGGTTGTGTATTTTATGATAATTTCTGAAACATCTCTTTGGTATATATGTATATACGATCTTGAGTTTGACGTACAAGTTATGATGCCATCAAAAGCTAATATTTGGTAATGATATTATCATATAGTGAGTAGAAGTAATTGAACTGGCAAATTCTATTTATTCTTTATATTTACTTAAACGTTGACTTCCTTAAACAAGTAAGATTCAATTATTTTCTGAGATTTTTTCAATACCATCCTTATTTTCTCATATTTGTTCACCGATTTCAAAATGTTTTCGCTAATCATACACAATGCGTTAGATTTTCCTGGGTGCTCAAATAACATCCTGTGTATGATAACTATATATAACTACTGAAAAGGTGTTCTAGGAGCATCTGAAAATAATCGTGATATAATATTATGTTCTAAATGATGTTTTTACGTGTAAAATGGACAGTTCCTGATAAAAAACACCTGTTTCGTTTCTGACAAAAGAAAAATATAGAAACCAAACATGATCACGTAAGTTTCAATACACATTCTTTTAAAATGCTTTCAGAACCACATTGAGATGTTGAAATACAGTGTTTTTCTTTAATGTCTCCCCCCCTTTTATTTTTTGAACGGGTCAACTGATAAAATTGAAACTTGGGATAATGAAATTTATGTATGAATAGTAGATTGTAGATTGTAGATGGGTCGTATAGGCTGGGAGACCTCTCGATCACTGCGACCTAGAAGATCTATTGTGATTACCCTTATCTAGTTTTGGTCCTCGAACCCTAGACTTCTGATGAAGCCTACAATTTTCCTGACGGTTGAATTTTCCACCTCAACAGGGGTGAGATAGACCTGTTCTAGATGGTTCAGCTTTTGGCGGACTAATACTCCACATGAGCAAAGTATGTGTTCCGCGGTTTCGGTCGCATTGTTACAAAAGCGGCAAGTGTCAGTCTCCGCCAGGCCCATCTTTTTGAGGTGGTACCTCAGAGGGCCGTGTCCTGTGAGAAAGCCTGTGATAAGCTTTAGCTCTGGTTTGCTGAGGCTGAGTAGCTCTTTGGCTCGGTTCTGCGAATGGTTGATGAACCTTTTCGCTTGTCGTTGACCTGGAGTTGCTCTCCAGTAGGAGGACTTCTCAATTTCTTCCCATTTTCTGAGTTCTTCCTTTAGGTGACATTTGCTTATCCCACAAAAAGGCTCAGGACCAAAAAGTGCAGATGCTGCAACTTTTTTTGCAAGGCGATCAGCTGCCTCATTTTCTTTGATTCCTTCATGCCCTGGAACCCACATAAGTGTGACTTTGTTGTCCTTTCCCAGTTGCATGAGTGTTTCAAAGCAGTCCCATGTGATCTTTGATGTGAAAACGAATGAATATGAATAGTATATTTTGGAGTGAAATTGACAGCGACTCTGCGCCATCTGAAGGAAAAAAATCAAATTGAATCCTCTTGCAGCTCCTGATAAATATTTCACAACCCCCCTCCCCCTTCCATTTATTTTTTTCTCTCCAAAATATAGTATTCATGCATCGATTTCATTATCCCAAGTTTCAATTTTATTAGTTGACCCATTCAGAAAAGAAAGGGGGTAGGGACATTAAAGAAAAGCACTGTATTTGAGATCACACTGTACAGCTCTACTTGGATCTCGATCGGTTATTCATAGGAGTAATAAACCCATCATATATTTTTTTCAAGTTCGGTTACATTTTTCCATTTGGTCACCTAAAAGTGAGTCGTTATAAATCATTGATTAATTGATAATTTTTACGATCTGGATTTTCTACTTTCTCGACACTAAACTGCGTAATTTCATTCATTTACTCGTTCATTTGAGTAAATTGCGACGGAAATTAAAAAGTTCTAGTTGATGTAATTATTCAATAAATTATCAAAATTGCTATGCGAACAGAAAAATGTGAAATGTTTTCCCGGTTGTTCAACAAATTTTTTGTTCCACCTTAATGTTATAAGAATTTATGAACATATCTATTTCCGAAATTTGTTATCATGTGTGAGCATGAGCTAAAATCTCATAGTCAAGAACTGTTAACTAACCCAAAATATGTCTTTTTTCCACCACTATAGCCTCGCCACTAGCAGGTATGGAAACTACCATTATCTACTCCCATTTCAAGGCATAAAGTGTATTTTTACTATCAAGGCAGTTTTCATCATTGTATGAACCACTATAGTCAATGAAGACATAGCCACCTCTGTTACAATTATCCGTAATTCACTTTTCTGATGCGAGATTCGCTGGAATGGCACTTGAATCTAGTAAGTATTTATCAGTAACGACTTGTCATATCATGCTGTCATGATCATGGCTAGAAAAGTGCTTTCATAGCGACAATAGGTCTATATTTCAGTTCCTCAGAACTATAATGATCGAAATATATTGCTAGTGGTGAACAAAATTCAATATACTCCTTGATAGTAAGGTATACTATTACCACGAGACCTTATAAACCTCGGGATATAATCTTGGTGCCTGGGTAATGATGATATTCTTTACTACCTTGGTGTGTCAATAACTATTTGTCAATAGCGCTGGTTTATTGAAAAATGTAAATAGCTTATTTGCTTGAATTAAATATTTGTCAATATGGATCGTTTTAGGTTGATATTTTCATCGTCCCCTTTTTTCGTTAACAGTTTCAAAACAGAGATAAACAAGATTTGTTTCTGATTGTTTGAATGACAGCGCTTTTCGCTGGAGCTGCTTCAATTGACTATACGGACATAAAACATTATTTTATCTAAGGAACAGAATATCCATGTCCATGACCGAGAACCAAATTGAGCTGCTTCTACATATAAGTACCAGGTGGTCCATCAAAATCGTTCCACCCAAATTTTCTCCGTTGTGATGCAATCAATGAAAAACCGATCGGACAGGTCGATTTTAATTTGGCGGGAGGCACAATTTTCAATCTCAAGTGGCTACGGAGATATGACTGATTGATTTTTCCACATATTCTCCATGAGTGTGACGGAGAAATTTCTGCTGTCGGAGTTGAAAGATCGATCCGATCGCTGCGGCCCACTCATGAGAAAAGCCCAAAAATTATGGAGACGACTTTGACTCTGTGTGTTGATGCCAATTTGTGATAAGTTCGTCTATCGTTTCATAGAGATTGAAATTAACAATGAAAATCTGAAAATATGTTCTTCTCGTGTTTTGGCAATATTTGTTTATTCTGAGCAATCAAAATGGCCGCAAACATATTTTCAAGACAAATACGAATAACGAAAAAATCTGAAATCACTAAAAAAAGTAGTTACAATGTATGTATGTTGTATCATTTCTTCTGGGGTAAGCCATTTTCCACCACACAGTTTTTGTAACATTTTGGCACCACACAGTCGAAGGGTTAAATACTGCAGCAATCAATTTTCTTCGATGAAAGCCCATTAATCCATCGATTTGTGTCCGTTCCAGGCTTCGAAAGGCCAGCCTCCCGGCGCCGCGACCTCGCCTAACTCGCTCCGCTATGACGCTGCCCGTCCAGCCGGCATGCGGCGATAAACCAACAGCGCCCGTCCGCAGTCGCGACAGCAGCGCGGGCCGGCGCAGGCCGGCCTGTTGGAGCGCCGCGTGGGCCGACCCGCCCTCTGGTCGCCGGGAACGCCGCAGGGCGGTGTGCTCGTGGTCGGCGGGGTACGGGACGCTGACGGAGCGGGACGAGGTGCAGCCGGCTGCCCTGCACCGGTACCACGAGCAGCGGGGTGCGGGGTTCCAGGATAGAGGTGAGTAGAGCGGATGGAAAGATCTGTAGTGTGGAATATATCGAATCCAAAAATATTTCTTGAATCATCCTGTATTCAAAATTCTATTTCCAATGTAACTTTTTGTCTTATTATTTGTTCACCATTTAAGGATTTATTTCCGATAGCCTGTTTCATTCTTAACAAAAATTGTCCCTCGAATTTTTTGCCCAAAATAAACCAGTTGGCAGCAAAAAAAAATTTTACGATCAACTACAGAGATACATCGTCATAAATGCGAACTGGATTTATTATCATTTTGTAGTTACTACCTGCGTTAAATGATTAAAGGGATTAAACCATGGGGTAAACCAAATACATTACTGGCTAAGGGGTCTATTCTCGATCCGTTCGAATTCAGTTCGTATACGGATAAAGAAAGATGCACTTACGTATGTGACGTATGTTGAAGTGAAATAGAAGATCGAATTCGTATAGGAATAACGCTCGAGAATAGACGCCTAAGTGTCTTTTTGGTAGTAGGAAATGTCAGGTCAATTTCAATACTGTAACTTTTTTAGTGCTTGTGAAAAAAATTGTTAAACAAATTTTATGTACCCCCTTCAAGGGGCTGTATCTTAACATGGGATGCTCCAATGAAGTTTCTTTATATGAAAGATTCTACCTTTTTTTCGCTCCAGCGAATTCCAGGATCCTTACCCAACGATTACGTAAGATACAGGAGTGTTTCCATTAGAAGTGGGTCACACTGTATATATAGCAGATGCTGAATCATCCACCGAACTTGTCCATAAGCTCAATCTTAGCGGGAAAATTCACTATGTGGTGCAGAAAAAACTCCGTGATAGTAAACTCGACTGAGACTTTGGTCATGCAGTTCCCTTCAAAGAACATCCGTTGTAACAAAGTTTCTAGGTGTAATGCTTGGCAGTAATGAACATCGACTTTGTTTGTAAAAAAATAAACTGTGCATACTATGCTATAATACAACTCAAGACTTCCACTCGGTATTCCATATCAAACAACTTCTCCTAGTCTACTATTCTCTTATATACTCCCATCTATCATATAATATTGTTCTGTGGGGTAAAGTACCAAATGTGAAAAGTATTGTTATTGCACAGAAATGAATTATCAGATTGATTTTCAATCTAAATTTCAATTAAACCTTGCGAGTTGAAATCGCTCACACCGTATGTATGGGCGAAAAATATTTGTGCAAGTGTCATCAAGATAGCATATCGAAGTATGACGTCTTTCAAACACGCGCAATTTTTCGAGCACGACGGTCGTTCTGATTTGTTCTGGTCTCACTATTTTTTCCCATCTAATGCGGATCTGAAGCCGGAAGAACAAAAATATAAAAAATATATCAGGGAAATTTGTCAACCAATAAAGTTCAAGGTCGGTGTGATTACTATCAAAACTCTGTTTGTTTATTCTCGACCGATATTATTTGACGTACCTACTTCTTTATTCGTCAATGTAAATATCCTGCTTTCTGAGAAGAAAACAATACTGGAAAGGGGAAAAGGGTGAATGAAAAAAAACTTCCTCAAGGTAGGTAGGTGGCTGTAACTGCATATATTAGAATAAGTATTACTATGAAAAGTGTAATCGAAACGTATGTGTTTTCAAAGAAGTTAGAAAAACGGAATAAAAAAGATACTCTCGGTAAATAACGGAACTGCACTATCTCTATATGCTTTATCACTAGTGAGTCATGAGTAGTCTATTTTGGAAATTCCTCAACCATATTGTGGAAATATTTTTACGTTGCATTATTTCAGTAATAAGGAAGTTCGAAGATCCATTATTAATAATGTCGAACTTTGTATCTGATATCATTCAGATATTCACCAAATGGAGAAGAGTTCGTTTTTTTTATTCCAATCAAAATTTATTATTTATTTTCTTCAGTGAGTCAAATCACATTTTCGGTTATGTTAGGGCAGGAAGAAACCAAAGTAAGGAATCCTTTCATAGTGAAACCCGAGTAGACACCTACAAAAAATAGTTTGTTCTCCAAAGTTACTTGTCAAAGTTACGTGTTTTGGAACTTTTGGAATAGGTATAATTCATGAGAACTAATAAGGCTATATATATATATTCCAAATCCAACTGTCAGTACTGAATCTGCTGATTTTCCATTCGAAAATCAAGTGACAGATTTCGGGAGCAGACATACCATTATGAATATTTTCAGCCCAGATTTCTTCCGGAATTTCTGACCACCAAAAGGTAGTGTGGAGTCAGCAATCCATCAATAATGAAGCTAATATATTTTTAGGATATGAAAATGTTACAGTGGGCTGCATATCGTGGTTAATTTATGACTATCAAAGAAAATTATTCAAATCAAGGCATTTATACATTCTGCCCGTTAGATCTGGAATGGTTTGCACGATTTTTCATCAATTTGCTATCATAGAATCCATTCTAATACAATTAGTTGCTGGTTCCGGTGCAAATCATCTTATATTTCTATTAGGTAGTTGTATTGAAAACAGCATTATAAAATTGTGAAAACTTCACAAACGGTAAGATTTTCACAAAATTCTCATCGTTCATCTCTTATCGTCAAGTAACGGCGAGTCGATTCAAAACATTATAAAAATATTGAATTATGAATAACTGAATAGTGTCAGCTCACTGCAATAGAATTTGTTTCGAATTTCACTAATTTCGTCTGAAGTATAACACCTATTTTGGAATAAATCATTCCAGAATTACGTCATTTGACAGGTTGCTGAGGGGCAAACATTGTATTTTGTCAAGATATGTCATATAAATCCAGAATAAGTGGGATCGTTTTCCTTGGAATCTGAGATGGAACCAGAAAGAATTCCATCAGGGATGGCCAGGGCTATGCTCATCAAAGGTAACCTCTAACAGATAGTTTGTGTGCCCCTCAAGAAACCATGTCAAAATCACGTGTTCTAGAATGATCAATAGTTGACAGTAGGGTCCCTTGAGGCAAACTGACGTATTTGTCATCTGACAGGGTAAGGACAGATCATAGCTCCTTTCTATTTCAATCATCTAGTGACTTTGGTTTCGTGTATTGGCGTCCCTGACATGACATTGCTGTCACGTCACATTTATAGGCGTTAAAAGAGATCTTACAACATTTTAATTTCATACTTGATCTCAATACGATATTATTCAATTATGTTTTGGAAGGATGGTAAAATGTGCTGCGTTATGCTGTATCAATCAGTTGGATGGCAAATGTGAATTTGTCAGCTTTCCATCAAATGCAAATGAACCTGGAACATGGAAAGTGAAGTGACCGAATGGGAAAAATTAGTAAATACATCAGCAAAATATTCGAGGTAAAACTAATACGAAATACATATTATACTTTTTTATTGTGCCTACAATTACCCACTCCACAAGTTTTTGAATGCATTTTATTAGCAACAGTTTTGATTAAAACGGAGGATTAAAAGAAAAGGCATATGCCCCACCATTTAAAAAATTATACCTACATTCAGGAAATATTGAGTGATCGTGAAACACTGCAAAAATGATTCCTAACATGAATATATACAGCACACATGACATATGAGCACATTAGTTTAAATACCTACATAAAATTTTTCACCATTTCTCAACCATAAGGCTTAGTCTGAAATCAAAATTCATTTATTGATAGGTACTGCCCAAGAACAGTCCCATTTGGTAAAACGTATTGAACTTTTAGAAAAATTTGCTCACTGCCTCACTAAAATTATGCTGGAGTCGAAAATTATCATCATCATTTGGATATAATATCTAGAGTTGAATGAGAAATTACATGTGGAAATTACGTATGATACGCCAATGTCCTCAATATAACCTAAAACCAACAAAGGTCAGAAATCTAGCGTTTTTCCCCAGAAATTAATAAAGATGGAACTATATAACTATTTCACAAACACTTTGTAAGAGTGAGAGGAGACGAGGATCTGTCCGTACCCTGTTAAGATGACAAATACGTCAATTTACATCAAGGGAGCCTAGCTGACAGCAGAGGGAACAGCAGAATTTCAGCAAAGTCAGTGGAAAAACTGACACTGGTAATAGTTGAAATCGGAACATAGCCTAAATTCATTCTGAAATGTGACATTCGTATATGTAATACTCTCAATCAAGAGACTTAATTTTCAAAATTGTGTAAACAAATGTAAATAGTTTACACAATTTCAAAGTCCACCGCGACAACAGCTAATAACAATAATCTGAAGTACGCTAAATTTGGTAACCACTAAAAATAAACTACTTCATCTCGAAAAAAAATCATCAATTCCCTCTAACCTTCCCCTTTTTTTCTCCTTCCAGGAAAAGTGGCCGACCCGCCCCTTTCTACGCTCCGCCCCAAAGTCGAGTCGCTGTTCGCCATGCCGGGCATCAAGTCGATGCTGGGCGGCAGGAGGCGGCCCGCCGATCCGGGGGCCGACCCCGACCACGCCCACTCGCCGCTCGTGGCTAAAAGGGGCGGAGCGACGCCCGAGATAGTCCCGCCCACTGTCACGCCCGAGATAGTCCTGCCCACTGTCAGGCCGGCCTCGAGCTTGGCGAGTCTGCGCAAGTGCGAGACGGTGGTGGCGTTGACAGGGTACCTCAGGTGAGTGGAAGATTTATAGCGTTTGCGTTCATCAACGATATTTTTTTTTTATCGCTTGGAGCGCACGAAAGGGAATCCCTATAATGTTCAAAGAACATCGTGCGTTCCTAGGGAGGATAGGGACAGGAGGTAGGTATTGGAATTTTTTTTGAACTTCTGGAGATTATATGTTGTTGGGAATACTTCCACAGGCAATGAATTCCAGAGCCTAGCCGTTCTATGGATGAAGGAGTCTTGATAAAGTGCTGTTCGACATCTTTCGAGGTTGACAACGAAAGGATGTGCTGACTGGGCTTGTCTAGTTCGTCTGATTGGTATTGCTAGTGAAGGGATAATAGCAGAGATTTCCGAAGAACATTTCCCGTGGAAGTATCGATAGAAAAGTGAAAGGTCGCCGACCTTCCTACGGTGTTCCAATGATGTCAAAGAGTGAGTGAGTGTGGCGTCACCCACCAGGCGAATGGCTCTTCTCTGGATGGAATCTAAGAGCATCAGCGTATGTTTTGGTGCTGAACCCCATATGTGGGAACAGTATTCTAGAACAGGCCGTATCTGCGCTTTGTAGATCATGAGAAGCTGTTGAGGTGTAAAGTAGCTTTTCGCACGAAACAGGAATCCGAGTTTTTGTGAAGCAGCTTTTGCGATGGATCTGACATGATTATCCCATGAAAGAGTGTTGCTGATGGAAATACCGAGCATGGATATGGTGGGCTTGGTGGGGATGGTGGAGCCAGACATTACAATATCGGGCATGCATACTGACTTCCGCCTTTCTAGAGAAAATGCAGGCTTGAGTTTTGGTGGCGTTGAATTCAACTAGGTTGTTTGTTCCCCAGGCTGTGATTTCAGCAAGATTCATTGACAGCATTGACCTGCCTGCGCCGTGAGTTCTTAGTTTCCTGGGAAGAAATGGGAATTCTATAACCACAGAAGATCAAATCATTTTGCTGTCATCTTAAATGGGTCACACTGTATGTATAATAATACATGTTGTACATTTATGCTGACTCAATTAAATCATTTATTATTATTATATATATTATGTCCATCATCAGCCTTATATCAGAAATTACATAGTTGTCATGGGGATAAAAAAGGTTATGTCACCAACTTTTACATTATAAAAATTATATAGTGAAGGGTTTTAATGTGAAAATTAATTATGGGGAAACCCAACAAACCCCCCGAAAAACAAATGGCACACATGGATGCGACATGGAAAATATCAAAAACGTGTTTCGACACATAGTCATGAATCGAGTAAAGAAAGTATGGAATCAAAATATTGCTTCTTCAATTCGAGAAATTATCAATATAATCAAGTTGAAGATTCTTCATCCTTTCCATCTGAGAACATTTATAGGTATTAATATATTTGAATCAAGTAAATATGGTATTGAATAAAACTATTAGAAATTTTCAATTTGATGAAATTCTAATATCAATCTGTTGAAATTGGAATGCTTCATTTGAAAAAATATAAATATTTATATTTTTTATCAAGAAAATTACGTATTATATCTTTCTGTGAAATGAGCATTCTTTAATTTGATGAAATGCATACTCATTTTCTTGGATCAAGAAAAGCATTTATTGACACAAAATAGTACGCTTCTGCGAATTGAAAAATCGTTTTGATTGAGTTGAAGTAATTAATTCAGTAACTGAATAATTGCATTCTTGGTTTGAGCATATATTTCAATAATATTACACAATTTTTTCGAATAAACCAGATTTTTTGACCCAAAAGAATATGCTCAATTGAATTGTCAAGAGAATGGGGTTTCTCATTCGAAGAATTTTTTTTCGTGTGTATGTTTGCTAAAATTATCTGGTAGTTATAGTAAATGAAAAGATTAGTGGATTATGGATATATGTACAAGTAATTTGTTCATAATCGTATTGATAATATATGAAGGCGATAACCTTATCTTGCATATTATCGTAACACACGTGCCTTCTTGAATTTTTCTAATTTTGATCGAGTTTCCTGCAGGGTTGGGCAAATCTTGATTTTTTTATAAAAAATCAAAAATCATTGATTTAAATAAAAAAATCATGATTTTTTTGATTTTTTTTTATTTTGGTCTTAATGCGCGATAATTATAGGTACCTGTCAACATTCATGTCAACATAATCTTTCAAATGCCGTGGAACAATGGAAAAACTCAATGAAAAAAATTTGGCTTCAAAAACTATAAAAGAAATGAATGGTAATAGTGGATTATTACCATTACTAATAAAATTTAATGCTCGTTCTTTGCCCTTCAAAAACATCATGTTTTCTGAAGAAATTACGAAAAACGTCAGTGGAATTCAGTGGTGGCTATCACAAGCTGACAATGAATCAGAAATCAAGAAACAGATACCTGTGTTAAAACATTTTCTTTGTGCTATTGCTTCTTCAGCCTCAGTGGAACGAGTGTTCAGTACCTTTGGGCTGGTACATTCAGATTTGAGAAATAGACTGGAGGTTGAAAAGGCGGGAAAATTAGTATTTTTTTTTCAAATATTATAATGAAAATTAAAATGTTCTATGTTAGTTCCAATGTCAGAAAACTTATGATTATAAAATAATGTAGAGTATGATTAAGATATACATATGTATATGTTTCAATATCCAGTTTTTTAGGGGTGTTACTATTTTATTTCAGTTTAATATTTTTTATTATTCAAATAAATAATAAATGTTCTCGAAATTATTATTTTGATTTAAATTGGGATTTAAAAAAAAAATCACTCGATTTAAATCATGATTTTTATCTTGATTTAAATCAATTGATTTAAATCAGCCCAACCCTGGTTTCCTGCGGATATTTACCATACATGCGTTTTTTTTATGTGTAGAAACACTCCAAAAATTCATAATAGGAAATTATTAACAACAAACATTTTCTGTTCCCTGACGCTAATATCAGTTAACAATTTGAAAAATATGTATGTAAAGTGTCTTTCAGAAACTTAACACCATATATGGGAACAACTTTCAATAATCATTTATTTTTTCTAATATTGACATGTAATTTTACACTTCTCGAATCTGAAGGAAGTTTTTAAACGCTTTATTTCATGCATGTAACCAGTGGCGCAATTAGGGGGGGGGGCTAGGGGGGCTGAGCACCCCTTCGTGGTCACTTTGGAGACCTGCAGGACATCTCTTTCCAAAGACTCGTTCCAACGAACAGCGAGGCTCTGGAACACATTGCCAAGGGAGGTGTTCCCCGAGGCATATAACCTCCAGAAATTTAAGAAGAACACCAATTCCTACCTTGTTTCCCTTGGTTCTCACGATGTTCTCTGAACATTACAGGATATCCCTTTTCGCGGGAACATTGAAAACATTAATTTGTTTTCAACCATATAACATCTGATATTACATTTCTACATAGTTTTAAAAGAAACTGAGTGACTTTTACCAATAGGCACTTCATTTTTGACAGAATAATTTTCACTCATTAATTCCATTAGGTTAATACCTAGGAGCGAACAAAATTATCGCGTTAGTCACCCGTTGCTATAAGCAACGTAATCAAAAAGGAGCCTTGCAATTGGTTCAAAATAAAATTATGGAATTTTCCTCAAAAACATCTGTCGACCAGTTTTTTTTTTTTTTTTTTTTATTTTTTTATCGCTTGGAGCGCACGAAAGGGAATCCCTATAATGTTCAAAGAACATCGTGCGTTCCTAGGGAGGATAAGGATAGGAGGTAGGTATTGGAATTTTTTTTGAACTTCTGGAGATTATATGTTGTTGGGAATACTTCCTCAGGCAATGAATTCCAGAGCCTAGCCGTTCTATGGATGAAGGAGTTTTGATAAAGTGCTGTTCGACATCTTTCGAGGTTGACAACGAAAGGATGTGCTGACTGGGCTTGTCTAGTTCGTCTGACTGGTATTGCTAGTGAAGGGATGATAGCAGAGATTTCCGAAGCACATTTCCCGTGGAAGTATCGGTAGAAAAGTGAAAGGTCGCCGACCTTTCTACGGTGTTCCAATGATGTCAAAGACTGAGTGAGTGTGGCGTCACCCACCAGGCGGATGGCTCTTCTCTGGATGGAATCTAAGAGCATCAGCGTATGTTTTGGTGCTGAACCCCATATGTGGGAACAGTATTCTAGAACAGGCCGTATCTGAGCTTTGTAGATCATGAGAAGCTGTTGAGGTGTAAAGTAGCTTTTCGCACGGAACAAGAATCCGAGTTTTTGTGAGGCAGCTTTTGCGATGGATCTGACATGATTATCCCATGAAAGAGTGTTGCTGATGGAAATACCGAGCATAGATATGGTGGGCTTGGTGGAGATGGTGGTGCCAGACATTAAAATGTCGGGCATACTGAGTTCCGCCTTTCTAGAGAAAATACAGGCTTGAGTTTTGGTGGCGTTGAATTCAACTAGGTTGTTGGTTCCCCAGGCTGTGATTTCAGCAAGGTCTTCATTGACAGCATTGACCTGCCTGCGCCGTGAGTTCTTAGTTTCCTGGGAAGAGATGGGAATTCTGGATGAGAACGCAGTATGGAGGGTACTATCATCTGCGAAGCTATGGATGGGGCAAGTTGTTACTCCCAACAGATCATTGATATGCAGTAGGAATAATGTTGGTGCCAAAATTGATCCTTGTGGAACGCCGGAATTGATGCCAATGGTATCAGACGATACACCGTCCACCACCACATGAAGCGATCTGCCTGAAAGAAAACTCGATAAGAGATGGCATAGCTGAGGTGGTAAGCCGTATGATGGTAGTTTGTGGAGGAGTCCTTTGTGCCAAACACGGTCAAATGCTTTCGATATGTCCAACGCGACAGCTAGAGATTCCCCGTGTTTTTCTAATGAAGCTTGCCATAAATGGGTGACGTAGGCAAGTAGATCTCCAGTAGATCTTCGCTGGCGAAAGCCGTATTGTCTATCATTGATAATTCCTGAGCTCTCCAGATATTTGATGAGCTCAATGTTGATGGCTTTCTCCATCACTTTGGAGATCACTGATAACAGGGCAATGGGC